CAAATCTCTTCAACAATCTTGTCAACACACACACGTATATTTACCTTACAGAGGCTAACTGTTTTTAAATATTACATTTTTATTGATTTCAGAGAGGAAGGAAGAGGGAGAGAGAAAAACATCAGTGATAAGAGAGAATCATTGATTGGCTGCCTCCTGCACGCCCCCCACTGGGGATCGAACCTGCAACCCTGGCATGTGCCCTTGACTGGAATCGAACCTGGGACTCTTCAGTCCACGGGCTGATGCTCTATCCACCAATCCAAAACGGCCAGGGCTGTGTGAGCACTGTTTAAGTTAACTTGAAATTGCAGCAGGTGTATGCTTTCACATACTGCCCCTCCTGGGGAGCAGCTGGGATGTCCTGGTCAGGGCCATCTATCACCTTCCTGGTGGTAGTTCCTGGGGTTGGCTCCCAGCCCCCGTCACTTCCAGCAGCCACCTGGGCCCCCGCACAGGAAGGAGAAGGCGCCCCCCCTCCCTTCAACACGTCCAAGCTCCCTGACTTGCCACCACCCTGGGCCTTCCATAGAGGGGCGTTGAGGATGGTGGGAGGTGACAAGGCAGCCCCTCTTTCCCAGGGTCTCAGCCAAGCCCAGGAAGGCCCCTGGTCCTGTCTGAGACCAGCAACCACGCTGCATGACCGTGTGGCCGGGTGCAGTGCTCTGACCAGGCGGGTGGGCCATCCTGGCCACATGCAGTGAGGACAGGAACGGGTGATCCCAGGGCAAAACGCCTGGCCGGAGCAGCGAGGGTGTGCATAGGAGGGAGCCGTCGGCCTTTGTGCCTGGATGAGGGGCTGTGAGGAAAGAGCCAGCACCTCGGCCCTTGCCTGGAGGTCCAGCTAACTCGGACCTCAGTGCCCGGCTCCTAGAAGCAGAGGCAGGTTGTGGTGAGATGCCTGGGGAGGGCAGGGCCAGGCAGGTGCACGGGGACGTGGAGGACGGGGAGTCCAGGGGGTGCTGCCCTTCCCAGATGAGCAGGGGACTGTGCCAAGACTCAGGCTGCCAGGGAGTCCCTCTAGCCACCACCACGGGCCTGTCCGGCCACCCAGCCACAGCACTCCCTTTGCCCGGCCTAGGTTGGGAAAGTCTCCGTGGAGAACGGCCAGGAGTTCACGGGCATCCACCTGCGGTACGAGCTGCAGCTCTCCAACACCAACTGCAGCGCCCTGGGAGTGGTCACCTCGGCCGAGGACGCCTCGGGGACCCTGTTCGTGAATGACACGGAGGCCCTGCGGCGGCCCGAGTGCACCCAGCTCCAGTACACGGTGGTGGCCACCGACCAGCCAACCGGCAGCCAGGCCCAGGGCCCGCTGCTCATCACCGTGGAGGGGACGTGTGAGTGCCAGGCCCTGTGGAGGGTGCGGACGGGGGGGACATGGCCCTGCCGCCGGCTTCCCCCCCAGAAGGGGCCTGCTCC